AACAACAAATCTCTGTCGGCGGTGCGGTCCGGAAGGAAATCTTATCTAGTCAATTTGACAGTTCTATTGTCTTTTGAAGAAAAAACAGATGACGCTCGCGCGTGCGCATAATCGGGACACTGTCCCTTTAAGACACTTTTAAACGTTTCCGTAGAGAGAGATGAACATGCTGCCCTCTGTTTACTGATGCTGATATTCTACCACTAAATTTTCTTTAATACAAATCTGTCTGGCTCCGGATGTTCAAAAGTTAGATACGCTATCCACTGGATAAATCGCTGTCCAGAGGATAAGTCTTACGAAAACCAATTGCGCTTTCCTTTGGATAATAATTTATCCAGTGGATAGCGCTATCAACCTTTCCAACAACCGGTGCCTATTGTTTAATGCATGATATGAGAAATCGAAAGGTACCCAGTAACATTTTAAACCTACTCAGCGGTACTACTAGTATTCATTCTAATAACACTCGTTCTTCCTTGTCAAATGACTTCTTTGTTAAAAACTCTAGGCTAGATATCCAAAAGAGAGCTTTTTCACGAATAGGAGCTAAAATTTGGAATGAGATACCAGCATTAAAAAAACACTTCAAAACGAAACTCCACTCTTTCCTTGTTTGATATCCTAAAGAAACATGGTGACTACATTGATACTTTGCAAATTGCCTCTGCTCTAAAAACGTACAAATAGAACTTAAGTTGCTTTGTTCAAACTTACTTAATGAAACTGGAGTTGTAATGGTATCGTAACTTATGGAAACTACCAAAATTTGTGTAAGCAACTGAGTCTCCTTTTGTATAATTTTAGTAAATATTAATCATTCTCATTGTAAAGTTTTAGTGTTACTGTTCCGCCCAGATTAGCAAATGCTACTTGCGGACCGGCCTCAAATAAAGTTGAAGTTGAAAGTTGAAATCATTATGTATCCTAAGAACCTTCCATAGCATTTCAGGGTTTTTAACGCCATAACAGTGAACGGGTGACAAGGAAGAAGCAATTACAGTCTAAGAACAGGATTTTTATGGAATTGTCGGAATTTAAAAGTTTTCAATTCCTTGTTTAGCAAACAGCTCCATAACTGCTTGCAACGAAAACAAAGACAAAACTTATAAAATATTCCAAACATTTCTACTGCACTCTTGAGAACTTTGGAGTATGGTGAAGTGCATTGTATGGCCTGATGAGTTTGACTACACAAAATGGGATATAATTTGAAAAAAGGATTAGAAACCACGACATACACAAGAAGTTGTTAAATGGTGAGTTTATATCCAGGAATGCTCGCACAAAAATCTTACTTACCGACGTGGTACTACCCCCTTGTCCTGGCTTCCTATGCAGTTTTTCTTTTTGCTTTTCTAGTGCTATCTTGAAAGGCTTCTGAATATACGGTCCAATTGTTGGTATTTTACTGCAAAACAGAGGCAAACATCGTCTGTCTTAGTTCATGAAGAGGCTTTTTTATGAACTCTTTGCCGAGAAAAAAGAGCCAAATTTCTGTTCTCCTCATTATCTCATGAAGCCAAAGCAATGATGGCAGTAAGGTTTGATTGTTTTTGATCTTACCAAACTCTTCCAAAAACTGTTCTTAGAAGTGATATCAAAATATAAATGAAAGAAGAATTAACATACTTTTAAAATTAAAAGGGACAATACGCACCCTACATATGATAAAACTGCCTCTACATAGTGCTTGCTAAAAGCTAGGATAACAAATGTTTTCTGCAAAACAAAAAGAGAGATGGAAATGAGCAGAAAAGAATGTATCGTAAAAGACAACGCACGCTGTTTGAAAAGAGTAGGAGTGTCTGGGAGAAGGGAGACAGTTGCTGGGTATATGTAAATGGTAGGTGGAGAATTGAATAGTTAGGAAATTGTTTTGGTTCTATCATTTTGTTTTTTTTGTTCTCTGAAAGTAGCCGGGAGGGGGGCGCTGCTTATAGTTGCCCGGAGAACTGCCCAGTTCCCTGTCTTTAGTGACAACCCCGATTTACTTACTGTCTCACTTGTTGAGGTGAATGCCTGACGTTTCCATTCTCAGAACATATATTACCAAAAAATAATTATATTTGCACTTTGCTGTTGGAGTTTACCGGCATATTAACAGGTGTGGTGGTGTGGTGTGGCCGAGCAGTTAGAGCACTGGACTTGTAATCTGGAGGCTCTGAGTTCAAGTCCTACTCTGACCGTTAACTGGATTTGTTGTTGGTAGTCCCAAGTTCAAATCCTCGGCCACACATGTAAATAACCAACTGGTTCACCTCCGACTACTTGAGATTCTTAACCATATTATGTTCCATTTAAATTATTGGTTCATAAGCGCCATAGGGAGAGAGGATATTAAATTAAGTATTTACCTACTTATTCTTTCATTTATTTATATATTGAGTTAAATAGTTATCTAAAATTATAGTCGATAAAGTGAAACTTCTCGCTCACAGAATGAAAAAAAAAAAAAAGCATGGCTACCTACCTGAAGATGCATCTTTATTACAGCTTTGCCAATAAGTGTTGCTCCAAAAAACGTCCAAAAAGGTACCAAGCAATGGCCGCAAGTGATTCCAGCTAAATCAAACAGAGGGTTGGGAACCTATGCATGATCAAGAAATGGTACACATAGTTACACGCAAACGTCTCTCCATATAGGCTGGACGCTTATGCAAAGCATGTCTGATGGGTGACAAATTACTCTTAGGCCCCATCCGGACACACGTATCCGGGTATTCTTAAAATCAGACATTGTTAACAACTGGAGATTTTTAAAATCACCATCCTTTTGTTTACGTGTGGATGGTCGAAAACGGAGTTTTTCGAATCCAGTTAAGTCATACATCATCGTGCTACTACAATCTTGGACAAAACAGATGGAAAATTTAGGCCCCCCCCCCGCCCCCATCTCCCCCCGAATCAAAAATGATAAGATGGCGCGTTTTGGCTTTTGCGCGGCTTCCTCCTTGATTTCGGAGGGGATGGGGGTTTGCTGTTCTATTTTTCTCTGTCCTAGATTGTTGCATAATGCACACGCTGTACGGGATGCTATCATATTTCCCGGCACCACTTTAGCGTTTTCATACGGATGGACAAAAACAATTCAAATACACTACGTGTGGACGCGTATTTGAAAAGCGGGTGAGAATCGGAGCCTGGAACTGGCTGATTTTCAGAAAATTAAGACACTGTAGAGTGTAATAATATTGTCATGAAGCGGCATTCTTGGTATATTCAAAGGATGTTTTCATAGTGATTATCCTAAAGAGAGTTTTATTGTTGTTTTCTCTTCAGCTGCACAGAAAGTCCATTGACCAGTCTGGTCAAGTATATCTATACTGTAATGAGCCTCATCCATATTTCAACTAAAGCCTTAAGAAAAAGATAAGACTCCAAAATTGACATAACAATGTTAGACATTGAGATTTACATATTCACTGTACTCACTGAGGCACACACGAGAATGCCAAAGAAACCAACTCTCTCCACTAAATCAAGGATAACTTTCTTAATTTTTGTCCACAAACTCTGATTTTTAAGTGAAGTTAAACGTTCCAGTTCTTCAACTTCTTCCAATTCTTCATCGTCTGGGTCTGTTCCCGACAAACGAGCTGGGGGAAATAGAGAAATGTGTGTGCACTTTAATACTTTGCTCGGTAAGTTGCGTTTTAAAGACCATTTAACAGAGTATGGCGATTTTTTTGTTGAGCCTTCTTAAAAGCAGTTGAGAATGTCTGGGATACATGTACTACTTGTGCCTGCAAAAATAGAATTTTTTTTTTCAGAACATAAGATGAAAATGCCAGTTCCAGTTTTAAACGTTCTGACATGGAAAAATAAAAATCAAGCAATACCACAAAAATAGGACACAGATATAATGTACATGTACAGGTATATCCAGTCTGATATATTGAGTTTATACCTGCTCTGGCCATGAAATAAGGTGGAAGTTCACCAATGGCTGTCCCTGCTCCCTGCAAAACAAGTTGTGAACGATGACTTGATCAAAACAGAATAACAAATTCAGGATGAAAAGTACTATAACTTTACAAAAATCCTACCAAAAACTGCAGTTACTGTAAGTACTATTCAGTGCATGAACAGATTATTTACACTCTGTTTTCTTATTAATCTCTCTAGAGGCTATTTTGATTATTTCTAAATAGCATTTTATGCAATATTGCACAAAGTGTTTGTTTTCACGCGCCCAATGTCTCTCATGTATTTCTGCAAATCATTATACATAGGTCATAACCACACGTAACCCTGAAAAAGTTTAGCTTGGAGCACAGGTACCCTGGTTCGGTGATAGTACCTCAGTATAAAATATCCTGGAAATTTACAGTGTTTGTATGGGGTGAAGTTAATTTCAGTTAATTTTTATTTTCCATTGTTTTTGGGTCTGCTAATGTATGTTAAGGAATTTAAAACAAAGGAAAAACAAAAATTAATGGAAATAAAAAAATTAACTGCACCATATACATATATACATTAACACTGTAACTTCACAGGATTCCTACTTTGGTACTATCACTGAGCCTGGGTCACCTGTGCTTGGAGCAATGATTTATCACAAGAACAACATTATTTTGTGTGACACCTCATATCAACAAAGATGCCAAATGGCATGAATTAATTTTATTAATTATTTTTATACAGCAATTGACTCACCCACATGAAAGCTTCAACCCTGACTTTAGACATGATGGTCCACATGTTTACTGTTGATGTGTGATCATCTTCAGGACACTGGATCCTAGAAATAACAAAAGCATTAATGAAAAATTATTTAAAATTAGAAGTGCTTATTGAAGTAACAACGTTTTAACTTAAATTCTCACCAGCTGCTATATCCATTGTATAACACAAGAATGTTAAAATATCCAATTGGTTTATATAAAAATAAACTTGGTTTGTTATGCACAGTAATGTACTTGTAGGTAATGACTTTCAAAAAATATAAAATGTCAGTGCTATTGATGTTAACATTTTCCCAAAAACGTAATAGACCTTACAATAAAGAAAATGACATTCCAATCGTGTTATTGAAGATGCATTAGCATGGTAATTGCACAAATGAAACGACAGATGATTAAAATGAACATTTCTACGTGAAAATGTTCTTACTAATTAAAAATCTTATTGAATTCCAGTAAAAAATTGAATTTCTATTTTCTGTTAATGAAGGACAAAAGGTGTAATTCAGAGGCATCCCCTTGTCTTCAAGAAAAATTCATTTCCACATCATTAAACCTGATATGTGTGCTNACTTAAAATTATACTCTATTATCTTAACCTATAACCTAAATTTCCAATTATAAGCTCCGGCACTTATGACCCCTTCCCATTAAAGGCTTGTTTACCCAAAAACCTAAAAACTAAATCCAAGCATAACCCCCTCCGGATATAAGCCCCCCCCCCCCTTCTCCAATGAATGTATGACGTTTTGAAGCTTAAAAACCAATAAACTCAAATGCATTTTCATCAGCACTGTCAGAGCTTGTTTCAAAGCACTTTTTTTGTTTTAATAAAAATCCCCTTCAAATATAAGCCTTTCCATTTATAACCCCTAAAAAAACCATTACAAAGATGTACCTGTATAAGCCCATGGTCAGGGCTAATAAGCTGCAGTTTGCGGTATACAACTTGCAGTGTGTATCCCTCTTGGATTAAAAACAATGTGGATTTAAAATGATGCAAAAACAGAAAAGAACTTACTCAACAGGGTAAGGGGGCTCAGGAAAGTCTAAGGTATTGCACTCCCAGGCAGCTAATGTCACAGATGCAATGTGAGGTCCCTGAGAGAACAAAAAAGTTATATATGTAAATCATTATGATAGAGTGCAATGTAACATTACAGTTGCAGTGTATTACTACAAAACAACTTTACATAAAGTTAATTTTTTTAGCCTGAAAGCAAGCTCTTCATTTGGAAGGGTCACAAGATGTCACACAAGAGCCGCATGCGAAGGGAGATGTGAGTGCGAGGGGTGGGGTAAGAAAGGAGAGCTTGCAACAATCTCTTACAAGTTTTCATTTCCACTCAGTAAACTGCAAGGTGTTAAAACTGTCACCGGAAACAAGTGTTTCTTTTTTTTTTTTGAGGAGACAGACCTTCCACGTACCTACCTTGATATAACCATCAACACTTTGACTCTGCTTTCCTTTTGTGTGGGAACTCACAAACACTACACAGGGGCACCACACGACAATTTTCGGAAAAGTATCTGTTCGGAAGACGATTTGAGATCTAGATTTTTCAGAACATTTGTTGTAAAATTTCTTGCTTGCCTGCCTCTCCTAGGATTTTTCGAACATCTAAAAAGTGGTATAATTGCCTATTTTTAATGGATTTTTACCGTAAAAAGGTCACCTAGAATTTTCGGGAGCCTTTTTTCTGGCTGAAATTTTCGAAAAGTTAAGTTTTGATCCCTATAATTTTCGGATCACTAGACTTTCTGCTAAGAAATCCGAACAGATGAAAAATTTTTAGGGGATTAAAATATGCCTATATCTACCGTTTAAATACTAAAATAAGTTAAACGATTCTATGTTTAAGTGGTTTTGGACTATATTCTCGTTAGGTGCCCCTGACTACAGATGCAGTCAGATTAATTATTGTACAGTGTACATGTAGAGCAACTGCATAACAACTAATTGGCTGACAATATTTTTTTGTCTTTGACTAGCCTAGCAGCTGGAAGATCAGTTCCAGTTTTTACATCTCACAGTGACAAAATTTTAATCTACGCTGTGAAACCTGCATCAAGCAGACACCATCAGAACTTAATTGGATATAAGCTTGAAATTTACCTTTATTTATAAATAGAGAAATTTTTAATGTTAACATTTTGATAATGCATTACAGTCAACTCCCTCTAAGACGGACACCTTTGGGACCGGCAGTAAGTGTCCGTCTTAGAGAGATGTCCGTCTTATAGAGAGTCAAATAAAGGGAGTAAAGAAAGGTAGGGACCAACTCTAGGTGTCCATTTTAGGGAGGTGTCCGTCTTATAGAGGTGTCCGTTAAGAGAGAGTCAACTGTAATAATAATGATAATTATTTCCCTTACCAGGTAAAGAAGAAAGGTGTGAAGTCCAGTGCCAAATCCAACAGATGAGAGAATGCCGAGGCCAACCCAATAACCCCACCAAAACAATACTGACTTGATTTGTACTAAGGACTGAAATATAGAAAGTACACTTAACTAGTTACGTTAAATGTTGCAAGTACTAAAAGGTATCTATCTATTTTGTGTACACTGCACCAATTTGATGAGTTTTCCCTACTTCCCTCTGTCAGCGATGACACCTGGCAGTTCTTGTCTAGAAAGACTGGTATCTAATTTCTCTAGTTGATAATTGACATGTACGAATATTGCTGCTGCCCCCTTGACCATTGGTCATTTGTTGGTCTATGAAATTGTTGTTGGGTACCTTGCACTTTTTGTGTTTTTTGATCCCATGTTTTGGATCATAAAGAAGTAGCTGAGAAATAATCTTATTCTTTAAAAAATCTTGAAAAATAATAATCTTATTCTTCCGTCTGTAACAATGGCCACTAAACTACAGTCAGCATATCTGGAGACTAGACTTTATAGGCAGGTTGCCATAGAGCTCTTTGCTGGATATAATGACCCTCATTCATATAGTGTCTAAGAGTTCCTTGTGTAACAGCAGTGATCAATGTCCACCTCTCCAATCCATGGCCACACAACAAAACAGATTCAACTGACGCTCCAAAAATCTTATCATCAGGTCTAGATTAGATTTTCACCCAACCATCTGTTTGTTGGAAGTGGCCACCACGCTTTTGCTTTACGGGACTCAAGGTCTTTCTTTGCTTATCAATCCAGAAGCCTACGCATTGCAAATCGTCCACATGATTCAGTTTTGAATCAAGGATGCACTTTGCATCTCTGACAAAATGTGCACACTTTAAGTCCTGTATTGGCAGGTTGACTGATTACTGTCTTACAGTACATCACCTTATATAAAAATATTATTGTTGGTATTTAAACATTATTCACATACACTGTATGTGCAAGTTAGATTTTATTAATCTGTAAAATGATTTTCTTTGGTAGTAATTTTGTCCGGACATCATGTCCGGACATCATGTCCAATCACGGTTAAGATTTTGTCAGACATTATTCAATGACCACCGCCTGATATTTGCAGCTCTGCTTAAAGGATACAGAATTGAGCAATTCCAGAAAATACCCAATACGATACCATGGATGGCTTTTCGGAATTCCAAGGGCAAGAGGGAATTCTTTGAACTGGGAATGCAAAGGCATGGGGGATACTTACGATTGGAATTCCGAAGGCATGGAGGGGTTCAAGACCTGGAATTTCCACAGGGGACAGACAAGAGTGTATTCCTTGAAAACACATATTTAATGGACTTTTATTATAATCAATTCAAAAATAAAGCAAGAACTGATGAAGATGCTGACACCCACAAGCATCCATCCATCTGGCATGTGTTAGTGTTCATTTGCTAAAGAAAACTGACAAAATGCACGTGGTCTGTACAACATCGAGTTAGCAGAATAGGTCTATTTTACCCTTGGTTTAAATTGTATTTCCCTCTGTCTTAAACTCATTAGCATTTAAACCAAGGACAAAATTGAACCACAACAGATATTTTCTGGAATTCCCCACTATTCAAAGTGCTCCAACTAGGGATGGCTGCTAATAGTAGGAGAATTTTCATTAATATGCTGCACCTCTATGGCACACGCGGGGAATACTAAGATATGGGCAAAAATAATTTCCGCGTATGAGAAGAAGTGCAGCATAACCGGGTTTTCGTCGCTGAGGGGAGGAGGGGGGGCAAAAAACCCAAGTATATATGCCCTCTCGGGGCATGAACGCATAGAAAAGCAATCTGAAAAGTGATGCTGATGTTGGCAAAACATTTAAATACCGGGCTCAATACCCAGGGGTAATGCAAGGGTCCCAGGAGGGAAAACGTGCTAAATTATGGGGCCCGCGTGCCCATTTCGGAGCAAACATATCAATGAAAATAGTAGGAGAATTTTCATTAATATGCTGCACCTCTATGGCACACGCGGGGAATACTAAGATATGGGCGAAAATAATTTCTACCCGGGCGCCGAATACCGCCACTAAGCCAACAACCTTAGGAAAATCATCATATTTCCCCCAATCTCAGAAGCTCACCCTACGGGAACAGCTCTTGGAGACGCCAGTGCCATGTGATAAGGCCAAACACGCCGGACAAGAAAACAACCTGGTGGCAGGTACAAGAGTGTAAAGGAGTTTATCTTCCCACAGACTTCTGCAGAGACTTAGAAATACCGTCTTGTGGCTAAGCATATTTTCTTGAAAAGAAGCAAGTTTAACCTTCTTATCTAGGGGCATTAAAAACGTAGTGTAAGGAAAATCTATGATATACCACAGAAAAACCGATGTTTGCCTGGGAACAAGGGTCGACTTCCCAAAGCCAAAGAAATAGCCGAGACCGATGAGGGAGACGGGAGCGGACCGGCCCAACTGGCGGGCTCCCCTTCCAGTTACACCAGGTATGATCAGCTCTGATGGAATCTCTTGCGTTTAAGAAGTTAAGCAGTGCCTAAAAGCGAAATAATTGGAAATAGATTACCACGAGGGCAACGCACATATACCTCACGTGATAGCGTTAAACCGAAACTGGAAAAAGAAATAAAGGAGAAAAAGGGGAGCCACCAACCAGGCCGATCCAGGAACCCCGTCACAGACAGAGTATTGGGCATAATTTAGAACTACCCGCCCCAGATCGACTGGACTGATAGCAGGAGCTCAAGACCAAAAGTCATGAAATAACAAAACATTGCTCGAAGCAAGTAAAACAACACACAAGAAAAAACCAACCAAAACAAAGCGATGGGCCGATTTGCGTGACACGAGGTATACATGTAGTCGAGATGAACCCGCATAAATAACTATAAGCCCATAAAACTAAACAACAAATGGCAAACGCAGAATAAATCTGGAACGTAGAAAACAGCCCACACAGCTAAACCATAGAACCGGGGATGACTAATTCAAAATAACAGGATGAAAGCGGCCGTCTTCCGTTTAAGAGCCCCCCAGTGTGTACACCGCGCACTGATATTTGTAAACAAAACAGAACAGAGATGCCATGATTATGAATTCTAAATTCAAACCAGAAAAACCGATGATAAAAGCACGTGTCGTGGGTACTGGCACTGGAAGCTTAACACTTTAACATCGCTTAAAAATGCCAAGTGAATAAAAGACGAGAAAACAAAAGGGCCCGAGGAAATAAACTACAAAAAACTAATGTTTTAACTTCTATAACACTGACGAACAAACAAAGATCTAGAAATAGAGAAGAAAATTTCCGAATTACTGGAACTAGTTGTGGAAACTAAAACGTAAGCAACAACGAACACGAATAAAAACACGACAAACTACAGGATATGCGAAGGAGCACGCATACAGAAAAAACACAGACCGCAAAGTATAGAAAATGCGAAATACAAGACCAAAACGATCCCAAAAGGGAGGAACGACATACTGAATAAATAAGAGCAGGAGATACCAAATACTAGACTGAACTTGACACAAACTACAAAAACTAAACGAGGAGCAGAAAATACCATAAACAAACCAGCCTGAAAGGGATACGCACTATAGCGGCTGAGGAAACCTAAGGGCGACACACGTTATAAAAACTAGTCTGAAAACGTCTAAAGCTAGAAATGCCGCTAACCTTAAGGCGACACACGCCATGACAACAACTTGAAGGTGGTACATGCCTGGGCAAGTTGTAAGCGACACGTGCTATGAACCCTAAATAGAGAGCAAAATATGAAAGACACCATGAAACTAGAGTGAAAGTGACACACGCCAGAAATGGCTAACCGGAAGGTGACACACACCGTAGAAACAACCTAAAGGCAGCAAACGCCGAGAAAAACATCCTGAAGGCAACACATGCCATGAAAACATCCTGAAGGCAACACACGCCGTGAAAACAACTTATAAGCAACACATGCTAGAAATGGCCAACTGGAGGGTGACATAGGCCGTGAAAACAACCTGGAGGCGACACATGCCGTAAAAACAAGCTGAAGGGGACACACGCCATGAAAACAACTTAAAAGAGACACATGCTATAAAACTAGTGAAAGCGACACACACCAGAAACGGCTAACCGGAAGGCGACACACGCCATAGAAACAACCTAAAGGCGACAAACGCTGTGAAAACAAGCTGAAGGCGACACACGCCATGAAATGAAATGGAGAATGATACCCGCCATGAAATCCAGTCTGAAAGCGACTCACGCTATAGAAGGTAACTCGAAGGAGGTATCACAGCCGGGCGAATGGCTTCCAAAACATAAGGAAGGATAGCGTCAGGAGCCTAGGCCATGCTCAGCGACGAAAACCAGAATGGCACACAAAAAACACAAGTATATATGCCCTCTCGGGGCATGAACGCATAGAAAAGCGATCTGAAAAGTGATCCTGATGTTGGCAAAACATTTAAATACCACGCTCAATACCCAGGGGTAATGCAAGGGTCCCAGGAGGGAAAACGTGCTAAATTATGGGGCCCACGTGCCCATTTCGGAGCAAACATATCAATGAAAATAGGAATAAATTTGTAAGCAGAGAGTTCAAATAGTTTTATAAATGGCCATAAAAGGAGCTTTATGCTTACTGGAGTGTCTGTTGAGAGAGCTTCACATGCATTGATAATAATTTATTGATAAAACATAAGTCCTGCAAGAACTAAAGTACTTGTAAAAAGTAGTTTGTACCTCTTGATGTGCCCCATCCAAATTATAGGCAAGAATCGTTAAAATGGAGATAACAACTATTGACGAAACAGTCTTCCTGTGTTTCAGTGTTCTGAAAAGTTTTAAAAAAGCAAGAAAACTTATGTTTAAACTAAAAAAAGTACTCATACACTTACAAGTACTTAAAGGCTAGCAAAAGGTTGTCTTCATTCAGGTTTCAAAAAAAAATCATTTTTTGCAAATGTTTGTGGCATTAATTTGATAAGGAGTAACATATGGTTTATTACTATTCTATTTGAATTTTCTTAGCTTTCCATGAGCAGGAAAGAACACCGGAACAGCTAGGGGTGGATGATATTATGAGCCACCTTTCAAACAAAGCTCACTTAGTATCATTATATTAATGTGAGTTGTGAATAAATAATTAATAATAATACCTTCATTAATTTGTTACTGCTGGTATTCTGACCAGCAGGTTTCCCCTTTGTTTATTAGGAGCATGTACATGGGGGCCTCATCATTGGTGTGTACAAGGCCACTGTGAAATAACCTTAACTTCCCCTCAAGCTTCTCAAGNCGGGGCATGAACGCATAGAAAAGCGATCTGAAAAGTGATCCTGATGTTGGCAAAACATTTAAATACCACGCTCAATACCCAGGGGTAATGCAAGGGTCCCAGGAGGGAAAACGTGCTAAATTATGGGGCCCACGTGCCCATTTCGGAGCAAACATATCAATGAAAATAGGAATAAATTTGTAAGCAGAGAGTTCAAATAGTTTTATAAATGGCCATAAAAGGAGCTTTATGCTTACTGGAGTGTCTGTTGAGAGAGCTTCACATGCATTGATAATAATTTATTGATAAAACATAAGTCCTGCAAGAACTAAAGTACTTGTAAAAAGTAGTTTGTACCTCTTGATGTGCCCCATCCAAATTATAGGCAAGAATCGTTAAAATGGAGATAACAACTATTGACGAAACAGTCTTCCTGTGTTTCAGTGTTCTGAAAAGTTTTAAAAAAGCAAGAAAACTTATGTTTAAACTAAAAAAAGTACTCATACACTTACAAGTACTTAAAGGCTAGCAAAAGGTTGTCTTCATTCAGGTTTCAAAAAAAAATCATTTTTTGCAAATGTTTGTGGCATTAATTTGATAAGGAGTAACATATGGTTTATTACTATTCTATTTGAATTTTCTTAGCTTTCCATGAGCAGGAAAGAACACCGGAACAGCTAGGGGTGGATGATATTATGAGCCACCTTTCAAACAAAGCTCACTTAGTATCATTATATTAATGTGAGTTGTGAATAAATAATTAATAATAATACCTTCATTAATTTGTTACTGCTGGTATTCTGACCAGCAGGTTTCCCCTTTGTTTATTAGGAGCATGTACATGGGGGCCTCATCATTGGTGTGTACAAGGCCACTGTGAAATAACCTTAACTTCCCCTCAAGCTTCTCAAGTGTTTTATAACCCGTTTCGTTAAGGTTTTCTCATGTTAATCAATTTCTTTCACTGCAATTCTAATGGATACATGTGATGGTTATTTTGTAGAATACTTGACAGTCATTCAGAGATGCCTCATGTATAATTAAACATTTAAGTTGTTTTTAACATCATGGGTGTCATTGTGTGTCACCATTTGCTGTTTAATACATAATATTAAAGAGGCTGTCATGGCTGTCTGGTGCATTTTGTTATTAAATAATGATACTTACGTGTCCTTAATTGCTATGGAACTTTAAGAAATTACTAGTAAACGGCAAAATCACAGCTTGACGTCACATGAATGTCTCTCAAGTAGTATTTCAAACATATACAAATAACAAAAATGATCTTCAAAAAACTGTTAGGCTAACAAGTTTTCAAAAAGCACAATTGCAATCCATTTCAATCTTCTTCAAGTTTGTCCATCCGTGCCTCCTTTTACTGTATATTTGCTGTGTTATTATTTTATCCCTTCTTTTCATGTTCTGAGCGGTTATTTTTATGTTGCACTTAGTTTGGTAGCATAGCGGTTTCAGTAAAAATTGAGGTAGCCAGCAGGTTTGACTCGAGTAACCAACTCTATCAACAGGAGGCCACTAGCCTCCTTTTTCTGGGGGGTCTGGGGGCATGCTGCCCCAGAAAAATTCTAAAATTTCAAAGCCCTCAAATGCGATTTCCAGCATGTTGGACAAAAAAGCGTGTTTTGCATTTAAAAAAATGTGGCTTTTATTCATGTTTTGCCATATCAGCCACACAATCAACTCTGTCAAGCAATTAACAAATGACAATAATTCAATAACGTAAATTTGCACATGAACAAATTCTGGGTAAATCCATCTAAAACATGTGGAAAATTGACTGAAATACAGCGTCCACATGACCTGCTAACTAGAATGTACCATAAATCCAGTGGTTCTTTGTGAATTAGAAAGCACATCATAATTACATTTTCATTGGGATTTTAAGATATGTTTTTTGTTTACGACATTATTAAAACATTTTCCTTTGTCTTACTTAACCATACCCAAAACAAAGGAAATAACATTTTCAACCAAGATAAAATTGAACCAGAACATATACAATCCTGACAGGAAATTAACGAACAGTTTAAGTGGGATTTTGGTGGAGTGCACTAACTGAAGAATAGGGGCAAATTACAAGAAATGTATCTAACATACAATTACAGTACATTTACCTTTCCTTGTAGTCATGTAACAGAATTCCCAGCTCAAAGAAAAAATATGTCAGGGTTGTAATTGGACGCCACCATAGTACTATACCATGCCTCTTTTTCTGATCAA